TATGTGTTCATATCTATCTATCTATCTATCTATCTATGTGTTCATATCTGTCTATCACTATCTCTCTATCTATCTATGTGTTCATATCTGTCTATCTCTATCTATCTATTTATCTATCTGTGTTCATATCTGTCTGTCTATCTATCTATCTATCTATCTATCTATCTATCTATCTATCTATCTATCTATCTATCTCAGTGTTCATACCTATCTATCTATGTACATACCATCACAAATTCATGTACGTAATTATTATCATCACATGACTACAAATATTAAAATACATCCATCCATACATACATACACAGACGCACACACACACACACATATATATATATATATATATATATATATATATATATATATATATATATATATATTATATTATATTAGGGGCCACATTCTGCTTTTAATAATTAGTACTAGTTTACGATACTGAAAATATTTAACTCATTAGTGTATGGTATGAAATTTTTAGACAGTGTGTGACCTAAAATGAAAAATTTACCAGTCGTAAGATTACCAATAGGCAGATCGTCGTGGGTATGACGATAAACTACATCCGGCAGCCAGGCCTCTGATCGGGAAATTGGACGTTTTGACGAGCGTGGAACCACCTCTTAACTTATCATAAAATGTGCAAAATTACATTTTCATCGCAAAATGACAATCAATGCAACACTAAAAAAAATATAAATAATGCATTTTTATAGTAAAATTACCAATAGTACATTTTATAATCTATAAGCTATATATCTAAAAACATACGTATACCCTGAAGTATAAAATTAAGTACAAAATAGTTGAAAGCATGAAATTACGTACAAACTATTTAGATTACGGTAGTAAATAACCCATAGAAATGTTCCTATGCCGCTAAACAAAATCAACTATTAGCCAGCAATTTAGATTAAGCAAGCATAGCTAAAGTTTTAAGAAAACTTTAAGCAGTAATGGATTGATTTCGTCATCATTATTATTATTATTATTATTATTATTATTATTATTATTATTTGTATATGTTATGTTTCCTTCTTTGTATCCTGTAGAGCCGGGTTCAAACTATGGTTCTTAGACACTATATGAGAATTGTCATTTAATTGATAGCACTTTTCTCGGCAAATGGGATGTTCTTAGTAGGGCGATCTTCTGGGCAACTTGTATGTTGATGTTACCTGGGACACTGTTAGTAAAATTGTCCATTCCTTTTCTCACGAGGCCCACAGCTCAGATTACAATTGGTACAGTCTCAGACTTCGTCCCCGATATCCTGTTAATCTCGATCTCCAGGTCATTGTATTTGGACAATTTTTCGACAATTTTCATGGAGGTGTTTCTCCCAGATGGTACTGCTATGTCAATAAGCATACACTTCCTGAATTTCTTGTCTTTTATAATAATATCAGGTCTGATGGCTTTTATTCTCTGTCAGTTTTAATTGGCATGTCCCAGAGGATAGTTACATCGTTGTTTTGGGTAAATGTGTCTGATTGGAGCTCATACCATCACTCAGTGGTTTCGATTTTGGGCTTCTTGCACTTCTTCTAGTGCACATATGTCGCTACCTTGTTGTTATTATTATTATTATTATTATTATTATTATTATTATTATTATTATTATTATTATTATTATTATAAGATAAAGCTCTTTAGGAAGAGAAACTTCCTCAGCCCTGAAATGAGCGCGTAAATTAGTTTTGAAAAATGATCAATTTTTTAGCTATTCGTGGAAATCCAGAAGATGTCCCTCAAAACTTTAACGTATAGAATATCTATCTATCTATCTATCTATCTATCTATCTATCTATCTATCTATCTAGACCGAATGTTATAAATTTCACTCTTTATGTAAATTAAAAAATGGTACATCAACTCAAACAAGTGTATCCACTAAAAATAACGTTTACATATATATATATATATATATATATATATATAAACGTTAATATATATATATATATATATATATATATATATATATATATATATATATATATATATATATAGTCGAGATATTGATATAGTAGGGCAGTGAAAGCAATTCGAGAGACAAATAAACAACAATAATAGTAATGATGGCATTAATAATAATATTATTCATTGATATTAGAACTAATACACACGCATATATATATATATATATATATATATATATATATATATATATATATATATATATATATATATATATGTATGTATGTATAATTATATGCGCAATTACTTATTAGAAAGCGCTCAATATCACAGATAGAGCTAACATATTTGTTGGATAGATGTGAGTTTGTGACCCTGGGTTTCACGCTTTGATATTTTTAGCTAAAGCGTGAAACCCAGGTCACAAACTCACATCTATCCAACCAAATATATATATATATATATATATATATATATATATATATATATATATATATATATGAAAAGTTTATCAGTTAGCTGATTGATATTACCTTCAGTATCCTGACTGCCGCAAATGGTCAGACGCTTCTGCTTTATATTTAGAGATTCTTGAAAAAATCCAAAGACGAATCAGCTATATTATTGATCTTGGTGTTTTGGCTTCTGTCACTTTCTCACCCCCCGGAATGTTACCTTTTCTATAAAGACTTTCAGGATAACTGTTCGAATGACCCCTTCGCCATGGTACCACGGCGTTAGGAACATTGTTTTAGTTGGGGATTTTAGCTAGCTAAGTTTAATGTTAAGACAGAAGATGACCATCCTTTTTCCCCATTCCAATTTTGGCCTTGTGCCACATCTTGTATTAAATTACAAATAAATATCGCTATTCGCCATGGTACCTGGACTTTATAAATTTAAGCGCAGTACTAGATTAACAACAAGGTCTTGCAAATTTACAGTTGAATTGGCTAGATGTAACCAGAAGTTCTATGCTAACAGTTTTTTTCTCGGTTTAAGAACTCACTTCCGGTTTCTTGTTTTCTAGTCAAGTTTGATCTTAAACAATTTAAATAAAATGCCATTTATTAACTACTGTCTTTCTGATTACTCTTGTATTGTTCTCGCTCTTCAATAATGCTTGATTTCTAATTCTTTTACACCAAGCAACTTCTTTGTGATTTGCCTCTGTGATTTCTATTAAAAAAAAGTATTCCTCTCTCTATCTATCGATCACTCTTTAATCATATTTACCGACCGATCAATTTCTGTTTATATCTATGGGTCGATCTCTTTCTGTTGGTATCTATTTAGCGATCTATTTCCTTAGTTAGGTACCGGAATATATTTAAATAGGTATTTCCACTATCCAATGCCCGCAAAGGTACGTAGAGACTCGAGGTGATACACCGGACACCCACCATGAACACTTTCCTATATGAAAAAATGCATACACCTTCATAAAAAAAAAATTGATAACGTTCCATTAACATGCTGACAGCCACACAGAGCGTGTGCGCGCCAAGAAAATTATTTTTTTTCTCTTCCCCGTCTCCCCTTCACCTGGATTCCAAATCCCGACGCTGTTCTACACTAATCAAAACCGAAGGGGTCTAAAAAAGAAGGGGTGTTGTAGGCGAAAGAGGAGGTGGGTAACGCGAGACATAGAGGGAACGCATAAAGGTCCCCTGAATCACATGACATCAAATCATGCAGCACATGTATAAACAGTGTTACACCGGATATTGAAGCAATATGGAGAAGCGGGGGTGGGGGCAGGAGCTGGAAGTTGAACGTTCAGCATTCACACACAAACGCACAGGCACACACATACACGCACACACATGCGCACACGCACATATAGACATATATACATACGAAGGAACGCTTAAAACTTCTCATTTTGACCCACTTCTCGTAATTAGTATTTTTTGATGTTTGGGCCTTGAAATACTTAATGATTTGGGGAAATGTTTCGGGCCGAGAACTTTTCAGTACACACGTCGTGTGTATAGATAGATAGATAGATAGATAGATAGATAGATAGATAGATAGATAGATAATGAACAGACAGTGATATATATATATATATATAATGAAGAGAAAGAACAGTAAGATATATAATCCTGTGTTCTTAATGATATTTTTATTTTTACAAAACAGTGCTCAATTTGGAATATATATATATATATATATATATATATATAGAGAGAGAGAGAGAGAGAGAGAGAGATAATATTAGTTTAAATATACAAATACAAATGCAATCATATATCTAAAATATCTAAATATATATACATACATACTCATTTAAACATAATTAACATTATAACTTATAACATAATTATAACTTATAACTTAATTATGTTTAAATGAAAATGTCCATGAAGATGGTCTTAAATAGACCGAAACGTCCGACGTCGACTTTATTTTAACATTAATAATGCATATTCAGAATTTTGTTTTTTTCTGTATTTTTCTTTCATACTGTCGGATTTATATCCATATATTTGCTTACATACATACATATATACATACTCATACATATATATTTGTATAAAAAATAATTCCAAGAGGATAGAATCCAGGTAGGACTCAATGTCCAGGACATTAGTGTTTAAGCCTTTTTATTATATATATATATATATATATATATATATATATATATATATAGATAGATAGATAGATAGCTAGATAGATACGAACAGACTAGGATAGATAGATGAACAGACTGCGACAGATAGATAGATAGATATGAACAGACTGGGATAGATAGATAGATAGATAGATAGATAGATAGATAGATAGATAGATAGATAGATAGATAATGAACAGACACACACACACACACACACACACACATATATATATATATATATATATATATATAAATCTACATAGCATAAATATTATAAATTTACTTATATGTTTCCCTCCCTACACAGGAATTACCATGTTTCAAAAACAGAAGCTAAAAACTTCAAATTGAATTATAGAATTAAATTAAAGTCTCTAGTTCTGTTTCATTTTCAAGCGAATTTTGGAATATATATATATATATATATATATATATATATATATATATATATATATATATATATATAGATAGATAGATAGATAGATAGATACGAACAGACTGGAATAGATAGATAGATAGATAGATAGATGATAGATAGATACGAACAGACTAGGATACATAGATAGATAGATAGATAGATAGATAGATAGATAGAACAGATAAGATAGATAGATAGATAGATAGATAGATAGATAGATAGATAGATAGATAGATAGATAGATAGATAGATAGATAGATAGATAGATAGATAGAACAGACTAAGATAGATAGATAGATAGATAGATAGATAGATAGATAATGCAAACTCGTCGAAGCCATTATGGGTTCCTAACCTATTAGGCATTTTCAAGTATTTTTTTTGTTATAATACTATAATAAATGATGGGTAAGTTCGATTGCAGATGGTGTAAGAGTGTCCTATGCTTACTGGAAAAATCAACACGGTAACATTCTCTTTTCCTTTAATAATGACACCAAAAAACTTGTCCGTGAATATGAAATGATCCAACTGAAAATAAGGAGACAAAACTTGTTTAAATTATTCAATGAAAAATATATGTATGTATGTATGTATGTATGTATGTATGTATGTGTGTGTATAATGTGTATGTATATAAATATATATATATGCAATGTTTATATATATTATTTATATATTATATATGCGCGGTACTTATTGGAAATCGCTCAATATCAGTGATAGAGCTAACATATTTAGCTGCGTTGATGTGAGTTTGTGACCCTGGGTTTCACGACCTTTGTGATCGTCAGACAAGCTGAATAATTTTGAAATTTTGGATTTATTTATGGTTGCTTATATTGGTGTTTTATAGTAGTGGGAGGAAAATTTGTTGTCGGAACGCCACTCAGACGTACGCAGACACACATACACACACGTTCACGCATTGCAGCTCACACGAACATAAACATATATTAACAGTGTGGGACTCGGCGTATATTTCAAAATTAATCAGTTTGTCTGACAATCGCAAAGGTGTGAAAAACCTAGGGTCACAAACTTACATCAACGCAACTATATATATATATATATATATATATATATATATATATATATATATATATATATATATATATATGAATATATATATATGAATCCGACAGACAGATGGGATAAGGAACAAACAGGTAACATTTATCAATATAACATGTTTGACATTTAGATTGATAAACGCTTCCTATTTGTTCTTTATCCTCCCTGACGAGTGAACGGAGTGATTGCAAGAGGGTCTATGAAACTCTGGAGTCGGATGCTGAAGTTAACTCCAATCAGTAAAGTGATAAACTTTATATTTGTATCATATATATATATATATATATATATATATATATATATATATATATAATGGAAAAAGGACAAAGTCCGACAATTATGTTAAGACATTTTTATGTTTATACATTCTTTTTATAGATACAAATATTTAAGTAAATGGTCTGTTTATAATAAACAGTAATAAACAACATTTACCGGCCTGAATGTCCGAGAAATTTTCATAGAAAATATTCATCCTCCGACAGTGAACATTCACTTCTTGCCTTTTCTTATGCTCATACATCACACAGTAATCATCTACCTTGATTGGCTCTTAGACCTTTTATTGATTGAACATACATTTCTTGCCTTTTCTTATGCTCATACAACATCACACAATGACCCTCTGCCTTGAGTGGCTCTTGGAGAAACATAAGTTAAAAGAAAATACTGAAAATGCAGACTAGCGTACAAGATGATTTCCAAAGTTCAGAAGGAATGCAGAATCAATCTATACCATGGGATACATTCTTTTAATAATACTTTCGAAGCTTCTCGGTTGGTTAATGAAATAATAATACATTATTTACATGATTCGGACTATTGTTCTCATCTTTGTCGCCATATCTATTACAACGTTTCGTCCGTTGTGCGCTCCTTCTTCAAGTGTTTGGAATGTCGAACTGTACCCTGTATTTCACTCACTGGGGTAGACTGTTCTAGTTCAATTCAATATATATATATATATATATATATATATATATATATATATATATATATATATATATATATATATGTATACGATAATTGAATGACAGAAGCGCCACCGTTATGAATTTCGAGCTTACCAGTGAATTCTTCAGCCAAATAATAATAATTATTCGTTTGAAGAAGTTTCTCCTATTTTTCTACGTAGAAATTCTTTTTTCTCAGTCTGTCATTCAATTAATTTCTATTAGCCTGAGATTAGTCTGATAGATAGATAGATAGATAGATAGATAGATAGATAGATTTGCGCGCATAATTTCACAAAACAAGAAGTGCTCGGTTTCGAGTGTGGAATGTTATATAAACTCGCAAAAATAACTGGCCGCATATATTGAATAACTCAGTATTTAGTATCTATATTAAATATTTATAAAATGAGTATTTTTCAGCAAACTAATTTTACAAACGTATATTTTGATTGGCACGAATTCGAAGAATTACGTGACAGACAATTTTCCATTTGAGTAAAGACTGCCTGGGTACTTTTCTTAATAGCCACCGCAGATGTTGGAGGCACACACAGACATCTGAGTCACCACAGATATGAACGAGTAGAGATAGATAGATAGATAGATAGATAGATAGATAGATAGATAGATAGATAGATAGTCAATTTCTTGCCTTGAGCGATTGTGTATGTATATGTATAAGTATGGGTAAAAAGTTCATTGAAATGCGTTTTACTATAGATATATATTGTATATATTATTATAGAAAAATCAAAAAATTAATTTTCAACGGAATTGTTTTACATTTTATTTTACCACAAATCAGCGAAATTATTTTACTATAAATATGCATTGCAAATTATAAGAAAGACATTTAATTTGGAGATTATATGATTATAGATCTTTCTTTTTTTTTACCGTTCGTTAACTGATACAAATACCATGAGCCACTCAAATTGTGGGTGACTGAATGAGATTATAAAATAACATTTGTCCCGAGACTTGAAAACGTTAAGATTGTAATCTTTCGGGTGCCTGTTTTCCAAAATAGCAGGTTTTGGGGAAGTTATCTGAATAGGACTTCTTTCTTATTAATGAAATTCGAAAAAATCGAAGATGATTCGATCCTGTATACGTGGTACAGTGTGTCCGTGCTGTTAAGATCTGCACTGGTAGAAGAAGGCATTGGAAACTGTTTTAATAGTAGCTTTTTATTGGTACGCGTGTCTGTACAGGCGCGCTAATATTTATATAAATATATAAATGTGTTTTAGCAGGACCTAGAATAATACCTGAACAAAAGCGGAGAAAATAAACAAAGTGGGAAACCTTCGTTTAAGGCGAAACGCGATGTCATTAAAACAGGCTTTCCCACATTGTCTCATTGATACACGCAGATAAATGTGTTTATGAAACATTTTATTAACAAAATAAATATTTCTGGCATTAGAAAAAAAACCAAGATATATATATCAAGGTTTGATGAATTGGGTCGTATTTACGATTCCAATGGAATAAATTATATATACATATATATATATATATATATATATATATATATATACATATATATTATATACATATATATATATATATATATATATATATATATATATATATATATATATATATATATATATATATATATATATATATATTTATTATTCCCCCATCCAGCTATGGGCAAATAGCAGGAGAGCCTTGGATGGTAACTGGTCTAGGGAATTCAAATATGGAGGGTCGTTTGGGGACCTTGTGGTACGTAGTGCACCATGTCTCTGTATTCGGCCCTTCAAAAAGTGTGGTTGGTTCTGCACAAAGCCTTCACCACTATAATCAAATATATGTGATGTATTCAACCATTTTCTTTTGATTTTATGAATCTGTTGTACATCGACACAGATATAATGACAATATTCTCCACACGTGACAATCACTGACGTTATTTTTCAGTTAAAAAATATGAAAATAGCGTTTCTCTACATTCCAGTTGCTAGGTACATTCTGTTTTTGTTTTTATTAGTTACTTTGTTCATTTAATTTCATTTTCGTATTTTGCTTTGATAAAATCCACATTGGACGAAACGCGTCAGCAATTACCAGTTTTCCTATTGTCTGCCTAGTATCGAAAGATACATGATCGCCTAAGCGTGGATCACGCATAGCACATGACTGACTGAATGGAAGCAGATATATTCGCCTATTGTCCAGTTCACACTATTCCACGGTCTTTTCGAACTGAGGTTGACCTTTGCCACTTGTTTCCTTTTTAGGCTTTTATTTCCGGTTCCTTGTTCCTTCCCTCTTTTACTTTCAGTAGATATCTTAGTTGCATTATTGTGGTGAATTGATTACAAAAATAAATGTATACATCTGCATGTGTATATATGTCTGTATGGAAATGCAATTGAAATTATTTTAGTATAGAAATGCATTGAGAGTCATTTAAATGCTTCGTTTTTATAGTTGCCTATGTCTCTGTAGGTTTGTGTGTGTGTGTGTGTGTGTATGTTTTTATATATATATATATATATATATATATATATATATATATATATATATATATATATATATATATATATATATATGTGCATGTGTGTGAGCGTGTTTTTAGGTGGAAGTGGGTTAGAAACGAAATTATTTTTGTCGCTCTCCTCATTTTTACCAAATTGCAAAAATCTAGGTCTGTGCGAACTAGCAACAACGAACGTATTTCTTGTTTACACAGCTGTGCGTTGATGTGTAACTCGGTGTGTAACACATTTGCACCTACCCCTGGGAAGCATGAAGGAAAAGGTGGGTCAACGTCGCACCTGCACAATCAACAATTATAAGCCTGCAAGAGTAACAGTTTTTTGTTGCTGTCTATTTTTTTTTTTTTTTTTTTTTTAGTTTAGATGTGCAAAGATTTTAAAGAAAGAGATGACTGAATTAAAGAAGGTGATGACCAATGCCTACTTGCAAGAAATACCAATTTTATTTCTATCCTTTTCAACATCGCCATTATTTATTTATTTACAATAAATTAATCAAAAGCCACTATAATTAAGTCCAAGTGACGCCGTAACGCAGTTTCCCTAGTCTTCATTAAATATTTTCAATGTGATTGTTCTTTTGCACCTAGATTCTATGAATTTAAGCGCAGTTCTAGATTGGCGGTAAGGTCTCATCATGAGACAATTGAAATGTCTACATGTAACCGTAAGTTCTATGGTAACCTTTTCTTCTCTCGCTGTTCTTGGTCGTAGAACTCTCTTTTAGCTTCTTGCTTCCTCGTCAACTTTGATCTTCAAATATTTAAATGCAATGTCAATCGTTATCTTCTTTTATTGTTCTTTCACCATAATAATTTTGTTGTTGTTGTTGTTGTTTTTGTTTTTTCTCATATTCGCTCACGTTTAGATATAGTGGCTTTATTGCCTTGCTTGGAGAGAAAGAATTAAAAAAAAAAAGATAAGTAAATTTTTTTTTAAATTTCCTAATCTCACTTTTTACCAATACTGCAATCATTCAACTGGACACACATACGCACACAGATATTCATTGTAAAGTTTTGTTAATATTTCGATGTTTACTCACATTATTTTCGAACCCTCAAGCTGTTGGTAAAATAGCAGGGTAGACTAGGCTCTCTAACCTTGGATGGTAACCAGTCTAAGAGAAGGCCCACTATGATTTCTAAACAACGAAATGGTATCAGAAAGTTCCTGGAATTGGTATCTAAAAGTTCCTGGAATTGGTATCTAAAAGTTCCTAGGCCTTAAAAATTTATCCTTATGCCAGTAAATAACATACGATTGCCCCACCACCACCAACAACAACAACAAACACCAAATAACGGCTCCAATATTAATATGTTAGTCCCTGATGTCAGAGTTGGATCTAAGTGATATTTCAGTAACAGATTTTTTGTTGCTGTCTTTTTTTTTTCCTTCCCGCACATAACTCATAAATATTTTGCGTTTTTCACAATTTACAGCTGAGCGGCAAAATTGCGCCTGACATGAAAATGGGTGGTAAGCAAAAGTCTATCATTAAATTCCTGTATGCAGAAAAATTGGTGCCCATTAAACATTAGTCGATGTTTGCTGAAAATTTACGGAGACCAAACAGTGGATGTGAACACAGTTAGGCGATTGGTAATGTGCGAAAGAGATGTAAGTGAAAAGCAATGTTACAGGTGGTCCCACGAAATGAAATTCGCCTCAATCAACTTATTCGCGCGAATAGGCTTCAAATGCTTTCGAAACGGCGTTAGCAAGGTTGGATATTGCGTTAACTTCCCAGATGCCCAGACAAGAATATTGAATGCAAATTTGTCGCAATCTGCGAAACTACAAAGGGGTAGCAGTCGTCTGGAATTATCATCACAGGTGACGACACGTGATGTCATCACTACGGGACGAGATCAAAACGAGAGTTCATGAAGAGGTGGCATTTAAATTTAAAAAATAAAAATAAAATAAAATTGGCTATTCCAACAGTTTCAAATTAAAAAAAAAATCTCCCAAAAATTCATTTAAATCTTTCTATTTTGCCAGACATGCACATAAAAATTGGATATAAACTTTTGTTAATATTTTGATATTCTTTGTATTTCTGAGATGAGGAGTTATTATTATTTATCCTATTTACATTCGGACCATTGTCCTTATCAATGTTGTTATCGCAACGTTTCGACCGTTGTGCCCTCCGGCCTTCATCAGGTGTATGTCAAACCGGGTAGTCTTCAGGGAATTCCGGACTGGAGCCTTTATTTATTCTACGCTTAAAAAAACGCAAATGCGCGCATACACTGGAGAAAAAATATTGTATATGATTGATATGACGCGTTCGACGGAAGGGGCGTATTCAACAAAAAATCGAAAATTGCTTTTTTCACTGCAAATTATTCATTGTATCACATCCAAGTATTTTACAAAAAATTTGAGCCAATTACACAATATTTCAAGTTCAATTTAGGTTTATAGTTCGTAAGCATGCAATGAGATGAGATAACATAAACCATAGATTTGTCTGTGGAATATCATCATTACATTATTGTTACGTAATTAGAGTGAAATCATTAAGGTTTTTTTGTCAAAATCATTTTATTTTTTGGTTTTATATTAATTTAAAATAATCCTTTTAAAGGCTTTATTTTTTAAAAGGGAATAAGATCATTGTAAATTACAGAATTTCGCTATTGCCCATCAAAATGATCGGAAGAAAGCGATCTAAAAACAACAATGGAAAAGCGAGGTAACAAAGCGAGGTAACAAAGCGAGGTAACAAAGCGTAAACAAAATAACTCCAGTTTGTTCAACTTGGGAAACTTAGCATTGCAGCCAAAGTATTCTAAAATGCTTCCAGAAAATGAAAAATACCTAACAACAAATCGAATACAGCATCAAAATTTATGTTATTTTTATGTATTTCTCATGTAACTATTAACATAATTGTCAACAACGTTTCTGATATTTCCTGTAATAAATTCTTAATAAATATTATTATTATTTTACTTGTAAGCAAGTCCTATATTTACAATTCCTTAAAGCTAACCATGAAAAGAAATGTTGATTAAAACTGCCTAAAACCTTTAAGCGCGTATTGCCGCCAAATTATCAAATGTTAAATACGCCCCTCCTCCGACGAACGCGTCATATATTCCCAGAGTTCCACTTGAAAAATCCGCATAGGAACACACACTCCTTTTTAACTTATTCAAAATTCTGCAGAACTTTGAATAAGTTAGAATTTGTACAGATAATTGTGGATACACTTATTTAGTTTTTCTATTTAGTGGGTGTGGATTAGAATTTTCATAGGGTTTATAAATCATTAAAATGTCGGCTGAGAATTTAAGTTGACGACAGGAGTTGCTTTTTCTTTCCTCCTGCCGATCGTTATAGCGGTCGAACATTTTAGTGACCCAGAAAATTATGCTTAAAACAGCATTACTGACATGAAAGAAAACAAATACTACTATAATATTAGTAATAAGAAAGAGTTTATCGACCCAGAGATTTGTGATAAAAAAATCAACAGCAATAAGACAGAGAAAAAAAACGTAATTAAATAATAGTAGGCAGGGTAGGATAATCGTGGTCCGGATTGAGGAATCGTAGAGCAGAGTTCGATTTCCAGTTGAGTTCATTATATTCGCTTACGTACCTTTGTGAAAAGTATGAATCAATCTCTTCCCTCCATGGGTAAAATAGCAGGAAAGAGTGTTGCCTTTGTTGGCAACTAGTCTAGGATAAGGAAAACTCTGAATTTAAACTAGCCTAGAGTGTGTTGGGTTGCATCAGGCTGTTTTTCCCATAAAACACCGCTGTTGCTATGGGTGCATTATGTATGGTACCTCTTAGGGGTAACAAGATTCATGGTTAATAAAGAAAAGTGTATCGGCCCAAATTTTGGGGATAAAAAGCAACAAAAATAAAATGGAGTCTTATTTTTTTGTGCCGTGCTCCTTCAATACGTAGGTGATTACGGGTCTCCATAACGTTCTATCTCTAGTTTTACTAAGCACTGCACCCCCCGCGTAATATCCCTCCCTTTTCATGTTCTACAAACCATTTACACAAGATCATTTTGTGTATTATTCATGCTTTCTCCTCTTTATTCCTTCAATTTTTATTTCCTTTTATTTCATTTTTCGTTTTATTTTTCTGCTTTCCTTCATAATTATTTTTTCCTTTTCTTCATTCTTATTGTTCTCCTGGTCCTTATCTTACTTTGTCTCCCTTTCTTCATCTTTCTTTCTCTCCTTTTCTTCATATTTCTTTCTTTCCTTTTCTTCACATTTCTTTCTTTCCTTTTTCACATTTCTTTCTCTCCTTTTCTTCATCTTTCTTTCTCTCTTTTTCTTCATCTTTCTTTCTCTCCTTTTCTTCACATTTCTTTCCCTCCTTTTCTTCATCTTTCTTTCTCTCCTTTTCTTCATCTTTCTTTCTCTCCTTTTCTTCATCTTTCTTTCTCTTCTTTACTTCATCTTTCTTTCTCTCCTTTGCTTCATCTTTCTTTCTTTCCTTTTCTTCAAATTTCTTTCCCTCCTTTTCTTCATCTTTCTTTCTCTCCTTTTCTTCACATTTCTTTCTCTCCTTTTCTTCACATTTCTTTCTCTCCTTTTCTTCACATTTCTTTCTCTTTTTACTTCATCTTTCTTTCTCTTTTTCTTCAAATTTCTTTCTCTCCTTTCATCTTTCTTTCTCTTCTTTTCTTCACATTTCTTTCTCTCCTTTTCTTCACATTTCTTTCTCTCCTTTTCTTCACATTTCTTTTTTTCCGTTTCTTCATCTTTCTCTTCTTTTCTTCACATTTCTTTCTCTCCTTTTCTTCACATTTCTTTCTCTCCTTTTCTTCACATTTCTTTCTCTCCTTTTCTTCACATTTCTTTCTCTTTTTTACTTCATCTTTCTTTCTCTCTTTTTCTTCAAATTTCTTTCTCTCCTTTCATCTTTCTTTCTCTTCTTTTCTTCACATTTCTTTCTCTCCTTTTCTTCACATTTCTTTCTCTCCTTTTCTTCACATTTCTTTCTCTCCTTTTCTTCACATTTCTTTTTTTCCGTTTCTTCATCTTTCTCTTCTTTTCTTCACATTTCTTTCTCTCCTTTTCCTCTTATTTCTTTCTCTTCTTTTCTTCACATTTCTTTCTCTCCTTTTCTTCATCTTTCTTTCTCTTTTTTACTTCATCTTTCTTTCTCTCTTTTTCTTCAAATTTCTTTCTCTCCTTTCATCTTTCTTTCTCTTCTTTTCTTCACATTTCTTTCTCTCCTTTTCTTCACATTTCTTTTTTTCCGTTTCTTCATCTTTCTCTTCTTTTCTTCACATTTCTTTCTCTCCTTTTCCTCTTATTTCTTTCTCTTCTTTTCTTCACATTTCTTTCTCTCCTTTTCTTCTTATTTCTTTCTCTCCTTCACTTCACCTTTCTTTCTCTCCATTTCCTTATCTTTCCTTTCTTTCTTTTCCTTCTTTTCTTCACATTTCTTTCTCTCATTCATCATTCTTTTTCATCATTTCTTCGCCATTCTGCTTATGGCCATATCATGTTGTAAAATCAGCTCCGGAAAGGTCACCGAAGTTAAGCACCGTCGAGCCTGGTCTGTATCTAGATGGGTAAACGCTTTGTGGTGTAATTTTTTTATTCTATATCTTTCAATCTAAAAATGTTTTCTGGCTTTAAATAACATGCAAAAGGGTTAATAAGCCGTAGAAAATGAATCAGTCAATTCATTTTTTCTCATTCGTTTTCTCATTTTCTTCACTTTTATTTTTATGCTTTTCTCATCTTTATTTTTCTCCTTTTCTTCATTTTTTCTCCTTTTCTTCGTCTTTTTCATTCACTTCTTTTCGTCATCTTTCTTTCTCTCCCTTTCTTCGTCTTTACTTTTCATCTTTTCTCCATCTTTTTTCTCATTTTCTTCGTCTTTTTTTCTACTTTTATCCATCGTTTTCTCTTTCCCTTCATGTTTCTTTTTTTTTTTTTCGTTTCTCTTTTTTTCTTTTTCATCTTCCTTTTCCTCATCTCTCTTTCTCATTCCTCCTCTTACACCCTTTCTCTTTTTTCCTCATCTTCTCACTTTCCTTAATTTAATTATAAAAGTTATCTTTTCCTTTTAGATCCAATTAGCACACTCGACTTGCGAGTTGATGTACTTGAGACATTTCTTTATGGCTTCGTTTTGCGGGCGGCTTGTTTATAAGAAAAATGAAATAAAAAAAACAAGCGTGAAAATAATATCGGCCTTGGACCGTAGTAAAGGATTAGACCGGATTAACCACGCTTAGTTGAAGTGAGTTGTTTCGTGGGGGCCTGTGAAAAGCACAAATTTGAATGGGAGGGTGGTAGTCACGAAAGGATAGATACAAAACTAACTTAACCTTGAATGTTACAAAACTCGCCTGACCAATAGACGAAACGTTTCTATTTATGTTTTATATTTACGGGGATTTGTGAATGTTTTTAACGGTTGTATGTCAAGTGCCAGACCGAGAAAAATAGTATTATAGCTTCTAAAATAGATATTTAATTAGTTTACCTTTATAGATCTATTCATTTTTAGAAATGACATTGATCTTTCAACGGCGTGGGGTGTAGGAACAAAGATGTATTTTATTATTATTATTATTATTATTATTATTATTATTACTATCATCAGCGTTCATTATTATTATTATTATTATTATTATTATTTGTGTATATTAGCTTTCCCGCTTTGTATCCTGTAGAGCCGGGTCCAAACTATGATCCTTAGATCCTATATGAGAATTGTCATTTAATTTATAGCATTTTTCTGAGTATATGGGATATTCCTAGTAGGGCGATCTTCTGGGCAATTTTTATGCTGATGCTACATGGGATACTCTTAGTAAAATTGTCCATTCCTTTTCTCAGAGCTCCGATTACTACTGGTACAATCTCAGTCTTCATTCTCCATGTCCTGTTAATCTCGATCTCCAGGTCCTTGTATTTGGACAATTTCTCGAAAATTTTTATGGAGGTGTTTTTTTCTGAAATGTTGCTGCTATGTCAATAAGCATACACTTTCTGAATTTCTTGTCTTTTATGATAATATCAGGTCTGTTGGATTTTATTTCCCTGTCAGTTTGAATTGGCATCTCCCAGAGGATAGTTGCATCGTTATTTTGGGTAACTGTTGGTGATCATATCATCGATGTTTCGGTTTTGTGATTCTTGCACGTCTTCAAGTGCACACATGTCGCTACCTTGTTATGTCTCTGGGTATATTCATTTTTTACCAATTCCGAACATCCTGAGATAATATGGACATATTTTCTGCAGATCCTGCATTTCGAGTTATTTCCATCTTTGATTGTGTGACAGTGATAGTATCTGTTTACGAGGCTTTGGCCCTGAGCTGCAATAATTAGGCCTTCTCTCTCAGCTTTCAAGCCGGTGCTCCTCAGACACTGATGTTTTTTTTCTGTTGGTCCACATCTGCTTCTTTCGTTCTTTTTATGTATTTGCCATGCAGCACGTCGTCCTCCCAGTTTTTATGGAACTTCATTTGGCCAAGTTATTTTGCTTTCTGTTTTACTCGTTTGGCAAACATGGTATTTGCTTTGTTTTTTTGTTCGTAGGATTTCAGGTACATTAAACTGTTTCTTGAAGAATGCAGTTTCTTTGTTGATGGAGTGGATTTGGTGTTTTATTATTTGTAGGAGAGGCTCATTGGTTTTGTGTGGTATGATTCCAATCTGATTGATGTAGTTCTTAGAGTTCAAGTTGGATTAGACATTTTGTCTCCTAAAGTTCTTGGTACGTACAGCATATCAATATTTGATTTTGGATAACCATTTTTCGGGTCTTGGTGTCTAATCTTTTAATGTCATTCAACTTCCATTTAATAATGTTGAAGCTGTATTTTACAACGGGTGTAGCTGAAGTGTTGATAGCTTTCTAGTATCAGACACACTCTGCGATAATGTTCTTTTTTAGATCTTTGTCGTCGTAATTGAATGTTGTATTTCATCTCCTTCAATAATTCTTAAGTATTTCTATGTATCATTTTGGTTTAGTTCCTTAATCTTGTTATTCATATCAAAATCGAAATCCGTAGTTTTCGTTAGTTTACCGCCTTTGATGGTGACTTTCGCACAATTATCGATTCCAAACTTCATCTTAATGTCTTCGCTGAAGGTTTTGACAGTGGTGGGTAGGTTTTTTCTGCTGGTTGTCCTCCTTATTATTATTAATTTAGCATATTCTAAATATAATACTAAACATTTCAAATACCTCGGTGAACTAATCAGTTATAAGAAGTTTAGTATAGGAGATAAGGAAATTGAACATAAAATATACTGCGCCATAGGAAGTATCGCCCAACTCCACAAATTGCTACAAAGCCAAAACATTAACCTAAAACTTAAATAGCTTCGTCGGGTCGAGACTTTCACGCGGATGGCACACATGGTGCCAAACCGATTGAAAGATATCTATCAGCCGTAAGCAACAATTTTCTCGGTTCGAGAGAAAGAAACATGTACGTCTTAGTAGGCACCTCTCCCCTTCCAAAATTGTGAACTAGAATCCCAAAAAAAGAACTGCGCCAAATAAATGAAACCACATCACTTAAGGATTTTCAACAGTAGCTACTACTAAAATGGATATCATCTCTAACTTGAAGAGAAAATAATGACATATTCTAAATGTTGACGTTCCACACTACTTCAAATAAAAGGTTAGGAAGGAAACCCCCATCAATACTAGGAATAGCAATAACACTAATAAATAACAGAAACTATATCACTTAAAGACTTTCAACAGCCGCAACAACAATGTAACTGAAATGGATATGTTCACATGGTTAAAGGAAACCCCATCAAAGAAAGAAAATAATGACATAATCAAAATGAAATGGATGTTCCACACTACATAATCAAAATGTTGAAAAGGTTAGGAAGGAAATTCCATCAATACTAGAAAGAGCCATAACACTAACAAATAACAGAAACTACATCACTTAAGGACTTTCAACAGCAGCAACAACTGAAATGGATAGCACATGTAACTCGAAGAGAAAATAATGACATAATCAAAATGTTGGTGTTACACACTACTTCAAATAAAAAGTTAGGAAGTAAGCACCCTTTTAGTGCAGGTAATTACCTATGGTATTGGTTCTATTGGTTAATTTAGTTTGGACCCAGGTATTAGATGGTCAGTAGTAGCTTGACTACCGTTTACCAAGCGCATGGTCCTGGAGAAAGAGAACGACTATAATGAAACAGTTGTTAAAATGGAATAAGCCTAATGTTGCAATCTCATCACAATATTTTGACAAGTACACCTTAGGACAGGGCTTATTGTACAGTCGGGCCGCCATAATTGAACTATTCTTACGAATTTATTTACTGTCAATTGTAATTAGATTAAGTATAATTAGTTATTGAAGTCGAATTTTAGACACTAATAGCGGGGGCATGGTGGAGTAATGGGTAGCGGCTCGGAATCGGAGATCCGAGTTCAAATTCCAGTCGAGTCCATTAGATTCACTTACGTGCTAATATCTTTGGGAAAGGTATGAATCCTCTCCTTATCCCTCAGCCTAAATAACAGGACAGACCTTGGATGGCAAGAAAGAAATGGCAACCTTTTGCCGCAAAAAATCTGCTTCGTCAGTCATGTATCGAAAGATACATGATCGCCCATTCGTGTGTGACTGAATAGGCGTGGTTATCTCATTTAAATCATTAGTTGATATTCCTAGGTTTTTCTTTGAATTCATTCAAATCACGATAATCATTAACTCTGTATATCAATTATCAATTCAATTTAGTCAACTGTTTTATTGAAGTCTCTTTCTTCCTCTAGTATTTCTGGTAAATAGTCAAACCCAAATAGTTCCTCATCGTTTGTGCAAAAGCGACATTTTTAATTCATACTCTTTATTAAAACATGTGCCTGGAAGGATCTATTATTATTATCATTATTATTATTATTATTATTGAGGTCACAAATGCACTCGCAAACCTCGTATTTTTAATCTTGGCGTCTACCCACAGAGCTATACCTGTAAAGGCTTATTGTATGCTTCAAACTGGTTTTCAGCTTCCGGTCGTAAAGTGGTCCCAGAACACGTGTAGCGGAAGATTTCCCGCGTTGAATTTAAGTGGAGCGTTATGCTTGTCATGAAGTCGTATGGTTAAGAGGCATCGAATGGTTGGTAAAGAGGATGAGAATCATAGGGCAGGTCGGAATTTGTAAACAGGAGCGGGATGGGGAGAGATACACAGACAGATCTCAAAAAGCCAGGAAACATATTGATAATGAAAACGTCAAGTTAAGTACTGAGATGGACAGATGAATCTATAAAAGTAAAAAGACGCGTATTCCAAAATGTATAGCGATCGCTTTCAACAGAAGACTTATTTACCTTTTATATATATATATATATATATATATATATATATATATATATATATAATGATAATAGTTGGTAATCCGTAGGGTAATCCCAAAAGGATATAGATCCAGGGAGAGCTCAATGTTAAAAACCAAGTCTGAGGGTTAAACATTATTTTCGGAACATAA